CCTGTTGTTGTTGGGATGTGGTGCTATAGAAACAACATTTAATTGAATTTAATTGAACTGAAAGCTGTAAATTACTGATGGAAACCAGGGCCTGTCAGAGTCATGGAGTCAGAGAGGACGAGTAGCTGGACTCATCCTCCCTGACTCCAGTCAGAGAGGACTTCCCAGTCCCAGTAGCTGGACTGGGAAGGCTTCAGTATTTGCCCCCCCCCCTTGGGTCCCTACCGCTGCTGTCGGAGCGGTGCGAGGCCTTGCCGCCTTTCCCCGCCTTGCCCTTGCTGCTGAAGGCTGCCAGCTTGGTGGGGATCTGCTGCTGCACCCCCACCGCCTTGTGCTGCTGGTTGGTGGTGCTGAAGAGGTGCAGCGGCACCTCCGTCTTCAGGCCGCCCCCCTCCCGCCGCAGCGCCGCCTCGGGGAAGTCGGCCGGGGACACGGACAGGCTGGGCCGCACCGAGGGCTTCTGGGGGGGGGGCAGCTCCGACAGGCTGCCCGAACCGCTGAGGCCCGAGGACGTGAGCAGCTCCCCGTTCAGGCTGCCGGACAGAGGAGCCACCTGGAGGGGGGGGGGACAAAGGCATGACTGAGGGGCCGGCTTCCTGCTCCCCACTAGTTATCTGGAACCGTGGTCTGATGGAAAAAGAGCCATGGAAAATCCTGGTCTGAGCACTGGATTTGGAGGGTGAAAACAACAACAAACAGTTCAACTTTAGCACAAAGTTTAGCACAAGCTTTTTGTTCTACTGATGTATTTATTTGTTCACCTCATGTCAGGGTAGCTAGAGGACCAAAGGCAGAAACCTGAAACCTGAAACCACTACAGCTCCCTGTGCACACACAGGCGTGTCTAACAGCAGACAGCCCGTTGGACAATTGGGAGGACAACAAAATGGCTCTTGTGACAATGGGGGATTAAAGATAGGGAGCACACTGTGGGCCAAGTCACTAGAATGAACGACAGACAGTTTCACTGAGACTTCCCTGATCATGTTCCAGTTTCAGGAGCCATCAAAAGCCTCCAATCAGCTGTTCTAAGAACCTCTGAAGGGGAAAAGAGAGAGAAAAAACAGAGCCCTCTTAACGACTATATGTTTTAAGCTCCTCCTGCCATGCTAACAGGAGGGTTTGCTGCATGGAGAGAAGGCCGGTTCCCTTCAGCTCAGCATTTAATAGCTTTTCCCAGAGCAACAGAGCTCTCTGAATCAATGTGAGAGGCTTTCCAAATCATCACAGATATCGATTATATATTATAATGACTTTGTTATGAAGACACACGTCCTTGATCTGGTCAGATTTCAGTAATGTACACCCCCCAAAAGCTCTTAAAACATGCTAAAGTTTGGTTTCTTTGCTACTCTGACAATCTGAATCTGAAAAATGAGCAGGTAGGAATAGCTAATTGACAGATTTACTCGATTTTGATTCAGTACAGTCAACCATATAAGCGTCCTTCGTAAGGCAGTGACCTCCTCCAACAAGACTCTAAATAGAGAAAACTGAACCTAACCTAACCTCTGAGAGTAAGAAGAGTAAACATCTGTTCTGTTTGGTATCAGTCCACCTGATTGATGGTGCTGATAACCACTTCCTGCTCATGATGTTTTTTCCCACACCTGTAACTGGTGACCTCATGTTTCCAGGAGGACGGGGCCCCTCGTGTGGGGAGAGTCCTCCCAGCCCCTTCCCTAACCCACCTCTCCCCTTTCCCTCCATAAATCCTCTGCTTTCGGCAGTAACTCATCTCGGCACGCAGATGTTGAGCCTTTCCCAGAACCAGCGGATGGACCTTAAGCGGCATAAACAGAGGGTTTCCAGGGCAGCAGGATGTCCTGACTGACAGCACAGAGGCAATTAGCAACAGCTGCCTTCCAGTGGGTTTGCTAATAACAGGCTAGGACCACCTTTGTCTCATCCTCAAAACTGCCAAGATCCACTAAAACTGTGAGATGTAAGGCATAAAGGTCGATTAACTTCCATTCAAAGTGGAGTAGTAACATAAATTCTTTAGTTTTCGTCCACCAGGGCTATCAATCAAAACTAAACACATCTAATACAAACTCAAACTGTTTCCAAGTAAGTCTTCCGGTTAATAAATGGGAGGATCGCTTTAATAAGTGATCAATCCGCTAATTTATGGATGGAAAACTAACGATATTTTATGATCTGGTTTTCAAAGAAAAAACTGCATTTATATGTTTTTATATAGTGACTCTTTTTGGGTTGGACCACAAGTTGTGCTTTTCGGGGTGCTTTACTTCAGTTCATTGGTTGATATTGTATTAAAAAAATATAAAAAGCCTTTAGTCCATGTTACAGCCAGTTATTGTCGTCTGAACACGTTTCTACACTTAAGCAGCAGGGATCCACCAGGTCAGGCTTTTCTTCCCTCGCCTCTCTTTTTAAATAGCTCATGCCCTTAGACAGAACAGTACTGCTCATGAACCTAAACAAGTAGCCCACCAAAAAAGATGCCAGACATTTGGGAACATGGAAACTGAAACAAAATCATTAAAAACCTCTATACACATAAGAAGTCTTACACAGCTTTCTCATCACATTATGTGATATTTTAATGTGATGCTTCCCAAACTAAGCATTAAACTACCATGATCCAAAAAATCTTTGAAAGAAAGCAAAAGCTGTTTTGCTAGATTCTTATCACATTTAATTTATCATCTATTTACTTTATCTTTTTTATGAAATCACTGTTGATATTTCCATTTTGAGCTGCTTGAAAAGTTGAGGGATGAATGAAGTATAAACATTACAGTGTTACCCCGTTTGTGAAGCAACTTACACAATCTAACACATCATTTCTGCAGCTCTTAGACAGAAAAAGCCAAACAAGCCGTTGACAAAAAGTGCCTGTTGGTGTCTGATGACGTTAAGGCTGCTGACGGGTAAAACAACAGTTACCTGTTGACTGACAGATCCTTTGAACCTGAGGTCATGTGACTGGTTTCCTCCCTTCTAGGTCTTCAACTAAATGAGCGTGTTTACTGGCGCTCAGATCTCTGCCTGCAGCCTTGGAAACGGGTGCATTTTACGAGTTCACATTCACAGGACTATTGTGCAATCAGAACCATGGCTCTGTCCTGGGTCAGAGCCAGCCATGACGAGATAACAGATGAAAGGAGAGTTCCTCTGAAGTTGGGACAGGCTTGGACTTGCTCCGTTATTGCTCCCATATGTTAAAGAACACACCCAAAGACACATGGTGCATCGGATTTTTTGCCTCCGGCTGCTAAACATAGCAGCCTAAGACTGCCGATGAGTCTTCATTTTGGGCGGTGGTGATTAAAATGTCTTTGATATCAGGTTGGATCAGAGCCTAGAGAAGATCCTGTGGATTTAATCAAAAGACCTTTTGATGGTGTTTGACGTAGAGGGGAAAGAAAAACACTTTGAAATCTGCCAAAACCGCATCCAAGAAGGTCCAACAATGCTCGTCCAAAGCAGACTAGCAGAGCTCAGTTTGTGCACTTTGGGTTTAGGTGGAGTTGTGCAGTTTGTCTAGCAAACAACTGGAACAGATGACCTCCACAGCCAGCATTTTTGTGAAGGCCTCTAAATTTAAAAGCATCACTGGTCCCAGCAGCTCGAGTCAGAGGCTTCTGCTCCTTTTACAGGCCCCTGGATGCTCTGTTCCAGTAGTAGAAGTGAACTATTCTGGACCCGACTCACATTTTAGAGTCTTCTGTTGCCAGTAACGAGTTTATATGTGGAGTTGTTTGCGTCTGGTCTTCAAAATCTCTGAGATGAAGTGCAACAAGGGGGCTTGGAGGTTAAAAATAAAGGTAAAACTGCTCTAATGACTTACTGTGTCTGAAGGTTCTCTCTCTATTTGTGGAGGCAGCAGAGTAAATAACATCACTGGGCTTGTTGTTATAAGGTGTGTTAAGTGTTAATGTTTCTCTCCTAAACAGACTGGATTCCTGTCTGATGCACAGATAAATTTGGTATGAAGATAAAGCTTCCCAAGGCCATGCAGAAAGCCAAACCTCTCCTTGGCTTGTCACAAAAACGCAAGCAGCTAAACAATGACTGGGTGAAAACACTCGGGGCTTGTATTGAGCAACTACCTGACAGATCTGTTAGCACTAGGCATGAAATTACAGTCAGTGATCTGTCTCAAACCTCCTCTCCCATGAAACTCACAAACAATGGCCCGCACTGTATGGCAAAGAGAGCAAGAACGACACAAAGAAGAAAAGATGGAGGAAAAATGAGTTAGAGGGAAATGGAGATAAGGCCAGGGACTTGTTCAATTCCTGGTTGAGGCGTGGTTAGGAATGTATTCAGCCATCTACACGGTTTTCATTTCAATCCACCCTGAAACAAGTTATGTAAACTTTCGATGATTGTTTTAGCAGAAGGAATCAACTCGAGCGTGGAACTTCAAACTGTTACTCCACTAACAGCAGCCTCAGCCTGTTGATTACAGTCTACTACCCAAAAGAAGGACCAGAATTCCTCCAGGTTCCTGTAGTCATAGGAAAATAGCTGCTTGTGCTCCATCAGATTGAGGAGTTGGTCCCACACAACCTATCAATTTAAAGAGAACACAACCTCTGCCAATATCCCATAAAACTGATAAGTTTAACTCTTTAAAGCCTGATCCAAGAAAAATAGGAAGAATATTGGATTGTTTTAGTCTGAAGTCTTTCTTTGGCCCCTCAACAACATATGAAGAAAACAAACAGAAATTATTTTGATCAAATTAGCCTGCAATAAGTCAAAAATCTATGTTGGTGTAGTCTTCTACTGGCTGTTATCAGGTATATCTGAATGTGTACAACAGGGGTTTGAGCAAAGCTTTTACCACTCAATGATGCAAAAAGTCTCAGATCCAAAAGACTTCAGAAACCAGATCAGATATGACACATTTGGCTTTATAGTGTTAAAACTTTACAGTTGAGTTTTTCTGTAGATTCATTGCTGCTGCTTCCCCCCCCACAGAAAACCTTCCAGCTAAAGCTACCGGTGTCTGACCTCAATGGTCTTCCTCTTGATCTTCTTCATGTGTTCCAAACGTTCCTTTTCTCTCTCTACAGCTCTTGTGGACTCTCTCAGTCTCTCCAGATCCTGTTGGTATGTCTCTCTCTGTCTGTCCAGCTCTTCTTTCTCTTTAGCCAAATGATCCTTCATTAGAAAAACAAACAGACAAAAGAGCAGGTTTAACCACAGCTATTTGCAACCTGCATCCCAGCCCAGACGTGCTGAGGGGGGCTTCACCTCCAGCCGCCTGCACTCCTCCTCCCTGAGCCGGAGCTTGGCCTCGGTGGCCTCGGTTTGCTGGCGGTGCCTCTCCCTCTCCCTCTCCCAGCGCTGCTGCTCCAGTCTGTGCTGGGACTGGAGCTTGTGGAAGCTGGCGAGCTCCTCTCTCTGCAGGGCCAGCGTTCGCTGCTTCTCCTGCTCCAGCAGGACGTTTCCCCTGTGGCGGCCCGGCAGGGAGGCCCGCTCGGTCAGGGAGGCCCTCTGCAGCTCGATCTGACTGTCCTGCTGGGCTATGATGGCCTGGGGACGGATACGGAACAAACCAGATGCAAATACAGCTCAATATTATGCTAATATTGGGTGGTCACTGGTCAATCTATTCGCCAAACTCCTATATTTTCTTAGGGGTCTTTATGTTCACGTTGTATTTATATTCTTCTTTGCTTATTCATGCTTAATTAAGGGTTTTTTCTTTTGTACTTTTTATTTTTTGGGCTATTCACTCTTAGTGTGTACCTGTACTTAATCTGTATTTTTTGTATTTTAACCTTGTAAGCTGCTGGTAACTTTAATTTCCTGAGGGAGACTTCCCAAAGGATCAATAAAGTACAAGTCTAAGTCTAAGTCTAAGTCTAATAAGCAGCAATAATATGCTTCAGGAAAGCAAATTAATTGGACAGAATATGATAATTTAAACTGTACAAATGTAGTTATTTATAGCTGGTTCCAGTTTCAGAGGCAAAAAGAATGGAGAGGACAATACCTGTAGACTATACAGCCTCTGGGAGAGCATAAGGACCCTGTCAAAGAACTGCCATGTGTAAAAGAAAGAAAAGGAGAGGAGTCGTTCAAGCCAAATTTCCACAACTGTCACAGAAAACAATGCAACAATTCTTTGACTCAGTAAACATGTTTTCCTTTCAGGAGGCTTAGAGATACAGGTCAAAGACAAAATCCAACAATGACTCGCAGCACAATGTGGAATAACAGCTGAGGAGCTTACCTCGGCCTCAGGGAAGGAACTGGACCAGATCCGGTTCCATCTAACCGGAGAGCTGCAGCTTTCATCAACCTGAGCCACAACACACACACACACACACACACAGCCAGTCACAAAAAGTGATAGGCACTTAAAACAAAAAGAAAGAGGACAAAGCCCCCAGGTCTGAAAAAGTGCTTTACTTCTAATGGCCAGCAGAGGCCATGTTGTTAAAGGTCCTGAGAAATGTTTCTCAGTAATTTATGGTCTCAGTTTTCAGTCCTGAGTTGTGTGCATTGTGTAGACTTTGGCTCCATTAACAGTAAGTGGATGACAAATCAATGTTATCCTTTGAGTCTCTAGATGGGCTTTCATCTTTTGTTGTTGGAGAGGATGGAGTCACTGTTCTGAATGCTGAAAGGACCAAATATTTTCAGCACTTTCCAGTCTCCTTTGGAGCCATAAGAACAGTGATTAAAACAGGGCTTGGAACTCAAACTAAGGTGTCTTTGCTTCACATGGTACTCACACTCCTCAACGTGTGGTTATATTTAGTCTGCATGATTAATCTAAAGTAGCCGGATATCAGAAAGATGCAGCTAAAGGGCTTTATCTATTTATAAACAAAAGATGGGACCGTGTTACCAGAAAATATGAATATGTGGAAATTTTCCAGATGACTTGGCCTGGTTAAATTACACTGTGACTCATCCCAAGATACTCGTGTGTGTGTGTGTGTGTGTGTGTGTGTGTGTGTGTGTAGAGCCCCTACCGTCTCTTCGAGGGTGTGGCTGCCACAGAGGTCTTTGAGCTGAGGGTCAGAGCTGGCTCTCTGGCTCCTGTCCCTGCTTCTGGACTCACCAGAGAAGTTTTTCTTAACAATCCCATCTGACAAAGATAACATGAACAAGAAAAAAGGACACACAATTAACGCAAACTCCCTTGAATACACAAAATCATTCAGATATCTGCTTGCAGTGGCCAGTCAGATGCATAGAAATGTCCCTGAGTGAGAAGGCACTCACTCTTATTAAGGATGGTGGGGCTGCTGTCATAGCCCCCAAAGGTGTCAGCTCGCCTGGGCAGGAGCCCAGAACCGACACTCTCCTCTGTGTGAGAGCGCTGGGGCTCTTCTTTCACCCCAGACTGCAGCAGGTTCTGCAGGTTCTCCACTAAAAGAGCAGAAGGAATGTGAACGAGCGGCACGTCCATTAATAAAACAGGGACAAAGTCAACAGGATGGGAGGCATCTCTTTCTGCCACAGCCACCTGCAGTGTGCAGCATCTCCCTACCCTCTGTGATGGCTCCTTTGAGCAGCGTCTCCCCCTGCTGGAGGTCTGAGGCGTCCCCTCGAAGGAGCAATCTGGAACGAGAGGCTGCGTCCTCCAGGCCGGCCACGGACTCCGCCATGTCCGCGAACAGCTGCAGCTTCTCCACTAGAGCCTGCACAATCACTGCATCCTTATGGCTCAGCCGCTCTATAAAACACACAAAAGAGGATTATTAACTCATCCTTTTACGTTTTGCCTGGTCCGTATTTTCTCCAGAAAATGGTATGCATGGTAAAAGTATAAAAAAGCTGCATGCAGGGCTGTGATGTGGCTCATGAGCACCACCTGGTGGATGTTTCCAAGTACTGTTTCATCTGCAATTACCTTGGAATTCTTTAAGCCTGAAAGCTCTGGCCTCCTCTTCCTCACTGAAAAGCCTCTCCTCTGTATGTGGACAGCTAACAGAGGAGAGAGGACACATGTGTCAAAGACATGAATAAAGCTATTTAACTAAATGCTTTGGTGTATAGCAACATGCCATGTTGTTTATCTTTATATAGCATGCAAAACTTTGAATGCATCTTTCCCAGTGGTGACTCTGGACAGGCTAAATAACAATGAGCGTGTCCTGGTGGAACAGAGAGGTCCAGCATGTTAGGAGTAGCCATGCAGCTACCTTTCCACGGCCTGTCGTATGTGTGCCATCCAGGTGTTGCGCTCCTCCTTAGAGGTGGTGTGGATCTCGTACATCTCTGGCTCATTAGAAGAGGCACAAATAAGGAACATGGCCTTCTCCTCATGGGCCACCTCTCTGACTATCAGCTTCTGGAGAGATATCACTGACGGCTTGTTATCCTGCACGCAGAAAAAAAAAACAGGGAGAGACATCGTATTTAAGGTTGATCACATCAGATGCAAGCGGCAGAGACTTTTAGGCAGAGCACTCACCACTGTAGCAAACACATATCTCTGGTCCTTCTCTTGGAGTAAGAGCAACACATCAGACAGAAGAACAGCAAGAATATCTAGAAGGACATTTAGAGAGGATCCTTTCAGAAAGACAGCCAACAATGCCAAGTGAGGCACTAATGACCTTTTAGAAACAGTACGTGTGTCAGAATATATCTGCATGATAAGTATTTTTCTCCACCACAAAAGAACTATAAAACCTTCTCTTAAATCCTACCCTTGAGTCTGCCAGAGGCAGCTTTCCAGCTGACGGTGCCTTCGTGGAGCAGTCGTCTCCTGGTCTCCTCCAGGTCCTCCCTCCGAAACACTCGGCCATCTTTAATCTTCCCCAGAGCTTTTGGCTCCAGCTTGCTGCGCACGTCCCGAAGTCGGGAGTTCTTCTCGTGGACGTTGACCAGCGTGTCCACCTGTACGATGGTGTCTTTAATCAGACCCAGAGCCCGAGTCAGATCCTCCTGCTCCTCTGTTCCCGCTACAGACACCAGGAGAGAGACCTGATTGAGACCCGATTATGGACAACGCGACCAACCCAGCGAGTTAGCATTGGGAGAATTTTCAGGACCTTCTGTGTTGTGCAGAATCCGCTCCACCAGGACAGGGTACTTGGTAATTCGCTGCGTAACCAACAAAATGCACTCCGTCACCCCTAACCTCCGCACGATGGACAGGTTGTTGACTTTCTGAGAGAGACAGAAATAGGTTCTCGTGTCAGCTTCAAAGCCTGAAGACGAAGCAGCTGATTGGTTCAGAGGTTTATGCGACTCACCCTTATGATGTTTTGAAACTTTTTGTTGTTCTGCAGCTGGTCCTTGTAGTAGCTGACAGCCTCAGTGTGGTGACTACAGAAATCTCCATAACTGTTCTTCATTTTTTCTCCAATTTCACCCGAGAACTGCAGAGACAAAAGCGTTGACAGGCACTCGTGTTCTGGTCCCCTTCTGCGTGGTGGCTGCTCACATACAGACAGTAGAGACTGCCAGAGGGTTTGAAGCTCCTCCCACCTGAGTAATTAGGATGTCTGCCACTCTGTTGATGGTGTAGTTCCTCTCGCTGGGTGCGACCAGGTTTTCTCGCCGCCGCTCTTTGAGACGTGACAGGAAATGTGTGTGGAGTTCGAGGAGATTTTCCAAGCGGGGGAACAAACAGTCGAGCCGGCCCGTGTCCATCTGGAGATTTTCCTTCAGCTCCCGGACGTACACGCGCAGCATTATCTTCAGCGTCCGCACATGGTGCATCTCTGTCTGCATAAGCTCTGTGGAGCAGAAGGCTGTGTCAAATCCAAAGGCTCCCGGCCCTCCAAATAACTCTTAAATGTGCTTTAGGACTGAACCCTAAAGCTATGTTAGCTTTTAAAGGCACACGTTTTAGTTAAGATTGTGTAAACAAACATATTTGAGCATTTACATAATTGTTTAGTCTTTCCAAGCATAACAGTGTTGAGCCATAAGTGGCTCACCTTTTGGGCTGAGAGAGTCCCACTCACCATAAATCACATCCTGCCGCTTCACCGCTTCTTTTGAGTGCTTCTTCAGATACTGCTGGTCCACCGCCACACTCCATGAAACCGCCTCCAGGTCCTGAGCGTCAGACTCCAGTTCAGCTCGGACAGCAGCATAGTGAGCTTCTGTGGAGGGAGGAGCACGGATGGGTAACACTCACACAAATCCTGGAGAACTCAACTGCCTAAAGAGGAGACTTCTGCCAAGGAAGCAGGGGCTAAAAGCTCCACACAGAGGCTGTCAGACTAAACAAAAACAGTTTTCCCCCTAAAAATACACACATCCAAGAACCACTTGTAGAGATGATTCCCTTTGAAAAGGCTGCTCATTATTTATTGTGAAGGATTCAGGTCTAATGGTAGTTCACTGGTGATTTCATCCCTTTTGAGTTTTGGCTAGGCTTAAAATGATATATGACCCGAGAGCTCTTCCCTTAAACATTTGTCTGGCTAAACCTTTACACTCCATAATAATGACACAACAGGGAGAGAGGAGAGACACTCCTGCCGTGTGATACATTACGAAGAGCGTATCATTAAGATGGAAAAAGAAGAGGAGGCCCTGTGGCGTCTGGGCTGTTTCTCTAAAACATTTGAGCATGTCGGTGAGGTATAAAACAGAAGGCGTGTGTCCAGTTGGCCTGTCTTTCTCTCCCACACACTTCTCTTAATAAGACAGCCTGAGGTCATTCCTGACTCCACAAAACACCCTCCACACACACTCCTCCCGGTTTCAGGAAAACATCCTGAAGGTAAATAGAGTTAGGAGACTCCAAAGTCACAAAAAAGGCTTTCATTTCACAGATTTAGTTTCAATCCAAGTTCAAGTCCTGGGCCAGTGGCTGGCCTCACCTTCTACGATGATGGACTCGGTGGTGGAGGGAGCCAGGGAAATGGCGTCTTCATTACAGCGTTTGGACCGGAGAGCATCTATCTCATCCATTTCCCAAGGCAGAGATCTGAGGGGGGAAACCAAAGTTCATTCACTCACAGATTAGCAAAGACAGAAATTCTGAGGCACCTTCCTTGCCTTTCAGCAAACCCTGTTCCACATCTAAATCTAAATCTAAAAATATTCACAGTTTTAATAAGAACCTTCAGGTCTTATAAGCTTCTACAGTGTTGTATTTTTGTGATTTGGAAAGGGAAAATTGTCACGCCCAAGCAAATGCCTCAGAAGAAATCGAGCTAGAGTCCAGTCAGAGGCAGTCCAACCTCTACTCACCCTGAGCTGTGGGGATGATGGAGGCTGTGGCCAAAGCTGCTGCTAGAGCTGTGGGCGGCTGTTAGCTGAGGTCCCCACACACTAATGGTCATGCCTGGGCCACTGGGGAACCCACGGGGGCCATCAGGGGCCTGAGATGCGGCCGGATCCTTCTCCCTGTCCCGGTCCTTCAGCGCTGGGAGAGAGACAGGAGACAGGGGTGAAGGCAGGAAGTGGGGAGCGGGCAGAGAGAAAGGGGAGGACGACCAGCGGAGTGGAGGGGAGGACGACTTCTTTGAGTCCCGTCCAAGTCGGCCCCAGTACTTTTTCAGCCAGGAGCGAGGCAGGGACCTGAAGAACCTGCAGGTGATCATGTCCCGGTGCATCAACACCCGCACGCCCAGGCGCCCCGACAGACCCCAGGACGAGGCGGAGGAGGACGGGGGGGGCGGCTTCCCCGACCTGGAGCAGGCTCTGGAGGACCCCATGGTTTGGCTGGTGCTGCTGACAGCCCCTATGTCCATTCCAAAGCTTTATAAGATGCACGAGGAGCTGCACAGTAATCCAGACTTTTAGAGTAGGTCAAGCTGCTCTCAGCTTCAAAGGATTCAACGTCTCTTCACAAGTAAGGATGGCAGAAAGGAGCACAAAACCCGGTTTTATACACGCCTAAACCCACTCTCAGCTACCAGACTCTTGTAGAAACTTCCAGAAAGACGCGCGCCCTTTTATAACGTTCTAATTCACAACTATTCTCCAATCTCTCTCTCTCCTCAGCATCTTCCCGACCCCCTGCTCAAGCCACTGATTGGCCGGAGCCAGACACACGGAGAGACCGAGTGTGGCTGACAGGACTCCAGCTGTTCACAGAGGAACAACAACTGCTACAGGAGATTAACCAACTCTCCTGCGGCCACAATCACATTCAGGAGCACCTGCCCAATCCTACAATAAGCAACCATTCAGAGATCCTAGGACCCACTGCTGCACACTAAGCAGCAAGGAAGACTTGAACCTGGACTTTAGAGATGTAAATATCAAGTTAGAAAAAATGTGGAGGACTTATCTCATTAGATTTTATGAAATGGTTGAATTCTGACCAAAAAAACATGAGAAAATAATAGACAAAGCTTCCTAATAAGCATTATTTGTGCAATCAGAGTGGGACTACGTTTATCATACTGAGGTACAACCATGTCACTTGTTTTAATCCTGTCTGTTTAAGAGTTAGTATCTTGAACAGGAGTTCAGTGGCCCAGAAGAAATGCCTTTAAACTAAATCTTTCTAAGATTTAAATCTATCTTGATCTGTGTGCTGTCGTCCCGTTTTTGTACAGATGACCTGTATTTGGAGACTTCACAAGAAAGAACCACGTGTACATCACCTGACCCTTCTTAACAGAGCCTAATTATCACCTTTGCCTACTGACTGTTGGAGACCAATTTCCCCTTCCAGGCTGAGGGCAGGCAGACACACATACCCCAGAGACCCAGACCCACACACACACTCATCCAGCCAGCTTTTTAATTAGGTACACGGGCTGCTTTAGCCCCGTTCTCAGCCATCAGCACATCCCCAGGAGCTAAACCGATACCCGGTCAGGGGGATTTGGACTATCACCCCAACCCCTTTCCAGATGTTGTCTTTTTTTCTGAAGAAAAAGGTTTGCCTCCAGATGGACGGCTCCGGACCCTGTATGTTTACGCTGCATTTCATTGTACGGGACGCCGGAAAATGATGACTAAACTAAATTGATTGATTGATCCATGCATAAATACTCTTCTGCTTACCAGGGTTAGGAGATCCTGACGTGCAAACCCTCTGAAGAGAATCTCTCTGTGTGGGCAAACAAGTGTTTTGACAGTGAGAGACAAACACAGAAATAAAATCTTTACATGTATTTATGTACATGGTGTTTAAAATGCTACAAAAACAAACATGTTCTTCTGGAGATTACAGGATTGAAGGTCTTTTTATTTGTTAGCATTCCATGTTTGATAAGGCAACTAAAATCAAATAATAAAAGCATTCAAATTTAGTTTTATTCAAGAGTTAAATCTGTTTATCAGACAATGCTCATGGAGGTGATGGAACTATTACTTCCAGGCAGGTAAGGTCCTCATTTATTCATGCATGCTCACCTTGTTCTTGCTACTGGTGCACTCCCCCAGCAAGGACTTGCAGCTCTTGTGAACGTTTACAGCACAATCTGAAAAAGAGAGGGACAGGAACCTGGGTCAATGCATATCAAATATATATATATACATACATATATATGTATATATATATACATACATATATATATACATATATATATGATTCAGACACGACTCTGATCCCAGGCAGCTGTGGCTTAGGAGAAAGGAAGACGTTAGTAGGGGTTCCTGGCTTTCCCAGACCACAAGTCAAACTGTATTTGCATCCATCAATATCTACATGTGTGAGACAAATAAAAGCACTATGGGGCTTCTAAGTCTCTTAAAGGTATTGGGTTGATCAAATAGAAAGTGCTCTATACACAACGTCCATTCATAATGGATTCACGTAACTTAATAAAGCTTAAGCTTAAAAGAACCAATGCAATAATGCTTCTTATTCAAAAGCTTCAGCTTCTTTTTGTTTACACGATACAGACTCCACTGTTAGCTGGTCAGAGATCTCCCTTTTTCCACGTGTCAGGTTTTTCTGCTTGTCCAGTATCCTCCCTGTATGGAAACAAGCTCAGAGCCAACAGGCTTACTCCTCCAAACGTATGATTGCATCTATGCTGATTAGCAGAGATACCAATCAGAGCTGTTATGGAAAAACCGAGCGAGGGCCCTTAAGTTGTCCCATCCTTCTGCCCAGTTACTGGAAAGGCCCCTCGCTGGTAAACAAAGCCACGTCATCGTTGTACCTTGACCAAATGAGACAGAGATAAGCAACAGGAGCCGCTCAAGAGGGATTAGACTGCCAAGCAAATGAGTTATCAATATGCAAACCAGCATGGCCCCAGCCCTAGCAGGTAACACAGAGCTGAGGCAGAACGGAGACCAAGAGAGAAACTAGCACCAGCTCTGATTTATCTCCGAGTTTAACATGTAAAACCTCATTTAAAAGACTTCCAGTAGGAACAATAATTGGAATGAACATTTCTCCAATACTGTAATCGTACATTCACCGTGTTACTCGGAGCACGGCAGCTTAATGACTTAACAAAAGCAACATGTATTAATGAGCCAGATGAATGACTTAGCTAAGCCTCCTGTTCGGGTTTCTATGGACAACCCCAAATCTAATGTTGTTGAACAAGGAAGCAAAGCCCCACAGCTCCTGCTCTGTTTGGCTTTGATAAACCATAAACAATAAACTCTACCCCTCTCCAATCACAGTGTAGTACGCCTTTAAAAATAATCGCCTTACTGAATTTCATAGCCTGAGGTGTGTTGTTTCCAGTACCGTTTCCTACTTTAAGCTCTATGGTTTGACACAGAGCTATTAAAACCCATCACAGTGTTTTGTGTTTGCTTGCGTTACATGGCAGATTCAATGTGGGTTTTGTAGAAGAAGATGGAAATCCAGACCCCTTTCCGCTTCTTTGTAAACTTTACTCCTCCTAAACTTCTTTAGTCCAACTGGGCTAAAAAGGTCCAGTTGCCTTTAATCAAGCTCTCAGGATTCCCATGATTTGGGTGACTAAAATCCACACCAACATTTTACTCCAATGAAAAAACAAAAAAAGAAATATGCCTTCATAGCAGCTCTGATATTTAATGGAGCAGAACCATTTCATCAATAACTGGGAAGTCCACAATAAAGCGTCTTCATTTTATCACTAACCGTTTGCCATCTGACATCCAAAATACCGACTCTCTCCCTCTTTTCAAAACAAAACCCAACATTTCTTACCCACTTCACCACCCCTAAGTCTACCATTCTCCTCATTCTGCAGTTTTATTCATTTACTTTTTATTTAAATAATTTATGATGTTTTTATTTATAATGTATTTATGACTTTGTATGTTTCTTATGTTTGAATGATGATCGTCTTTGTAAAGTGTCCTTGAGTGGCATGAAAGGCGCTTTTTCAAAATAAAATGTATTATTATTATAACCAATGTTTACAATCCATCTGAGGTTTAATCTCAGTTTAATTGAAGCAAAATGCCGCCCAAAGATGAGCAAGAGCACAATGTTTTCATGGTTTGAGGGTTGCCCCCTCAGCCACAGACCCCCTTAACTCACACTGCTTAAACCTGGACAGAAACAGGTCAGAACACACCCAGCTGTGTGCATGAGGTTGCTCAGGTGTTGGAGCAGGCCGACCCGCTCTCACACCAGCAGCAGTGACTCAGTCCTGTCAGCAGCTCATTCACAGGCTCAGCCCTTATCAAAGCACCACCACACCCAGCATCTGCTGACTGCTGGAAACCCTGCCCACCGCGCCCCACCGCGCCGTGCACAGCTCAGTAAGTCACCCAGTCAGCCGGAACCAGGCAGAAAGGCCCAGCTAAAGCCTTCATGGTTATCTCACCCAATAGGACACGCTGCAGTGGTCGGGTTCTTCCAGAAATAACAGAACAAAAAGATTAGCGTGTGGCCAGAAGACAGCGTGAAACTGATGGAAGCATAGATGTACTATGGAATTATACAATTCAACAGAATATAATACAAAACAGAATGATGCCAAGTATAAGGCACACATTTAGGATGGTGGGAAAGGCTGGTTTTTGTTTGTTTTTATTCCCAAAGCATCCCCTTTCAGTTTAAGCCCAACTTATAAACTAAGTTAAACATATTGTTAAACCAACTGTTTGGACAGCACTAAAGCTACAATTAGAAATCATTTGTCGGCTATATACTCTGACTCAGTTTTAGAAAGTTAAAGATAACCCCCCCCCACCACCACATAAGAGATGACTACTTCTGTGTTTGTTTCTTTTTACTTTATAAATACATTTTAAAACGGTAGCCACAAACACCATGTCACCAGCTTCCTGTTTTCATGTCATACCTGTAAAGGAGGCTAAACCAGTAGTTAGACCACCAGAGAGAGAGGGGGGGCTGGGACAGGCCTGTTGCCACCGGCTAATTAGCATCACCTGCCAGGGGAAACCCACAAATCTCACATCCAACATGGAGCAATTTCACCTGTTAGGAGTAATTAGCTGCACAAGTCTCTGACACAAATGATGGCTGCTGGGGAAATATTATACAGTAGAAAAATAATTAACCACAAACTGCACCGACAGACATCTGACTTGACGGCTAGGACTCGTGTTTCTACTGGCAATATTCCCAACAACAAAAACACGAACAGCTGCCTGGAGGCTGGAGAAGCTAACGGAAGCTAACGGAAGCTAACGTTAGCTCAACTGCCTATCACCTGTTGAGTCTCCTCCGAACTCCAGGCAGCATCAGTGACCCAACACGGCACATAAATTAAAAGTTGAACAAAGTTGTACAACTTCCACGGACTTTTACAGACACATTTCCGTGGCAGTGTGCCTTCATAGTAAGCTAAATACAGCCGGCCGCTTCCCCAACGGACCTTGTTTTTCAAATAGAGGCGCAGCTAAGACGCTAGCGCTTCTAGAAGCTAACAAGCTAAGACTAACTCGGACCTAGTTTTGAGCAGTTAATAACTAACAAAGTGAAAAGAAAACAAATCTGAAAATGATCCGTTGTTTTGTGGGTCTGCGTCAAACCTCACACAAAGCAAAGCAGTTGAGAGGGATTCTGACAAGCACTTCTATCTGTTATTAGCCATTAGCTTGGCGGCTAGCGGCAGGATGTATGAAGTCCGTTGAGGGAAACAACGGGAGTTCATCCACCTGATCCCGCTCCAGCAGCTGCTTCTTACCGTCCAAACAACACCGGCGTCTGTCTCGGCTGCACCCGAAAAGCAGGCTAAGCTGTCAGAAAGCTCAATAAATCACATTGCCTGAAGTGTTCCGATAAAAGCACATTTCCTAGATTGGTGGTTTTCTCCAGTTTTGGGTCTCCTCCGGGAACAATCTCTGGCACACAAACGACGCATTCCTCAGGCTGGATCGCCACAGGGCTCGGTTCAAATTAAAGGGACACTCACTTGTTTTCTCACGCCTACTCGTGCGTGTATGTGTGTGTGTGTGTGTGTGTGTGTGTGTGTGTGTATGCGTGTTGTGTGCCAGCACACAACAACATTTAGGTTTGTGAAGGTTTATCACCACGGAGGTGATGAATGGGGAAGTTATCAGGGAGAGATTTGTTATTGTTCTCTGGATGCCCTCAAAAAGATCCAGTACTCTCATCTGAACCATGTGTGGAGCCCTGAAACACGCCAGAGCACATTTGTTTGATAAACAACAGATTAAAAACAACCGTACATTACATGCCCTCTCCCAGCTGGGACAGGGATAAATACTGAGGACACAGCACACAGGAGCAGCCAGGAAATATGGAAGTGAGAGCAGACTATGACCAAAGGGCCTGTCAGGCACTTCTGGGCATGCTTCAGTTCAATTAAGGAAAATAAATGCCTATAGGACTGAAAACAGGTCTATTGAGAGACAGTAATAAAACGTGGAACCATGATTAGTATCTGGTTAGATCTGTGTAGATGTTCCTGGAGTCTTAGGGTGAAAGGCCCTGAGACATCAGATTCTGCTGCCCCCCTTTCTGTTAACATAAAGTCACCATAGTAATTCCTATTTCCACATAGGGCCTCTAATTATACTTGCTTTTGGAAATAAAAACACCTTAATATAGTTCAGAAGGCACAGAAAGCTCCTAGATAAAATATAGCCAACCCCTCCTGGATGATCATAAGATTAGGACTAAGTGTTTGTTTCAGTCTGGACGTAAAAATGAGATGGATAATGGACAAATAATAAAGGGGACCACCTCTGGATTCTTCAGCATAATCCTAAATATGACAGAGACTTGCGATTTAGAAATCAGTTTTCAACCCGATTAAAAAAAAGAAAAGAATAGAAGGAAAGTTTTCTGGCTATTTTCCTAAATTGCTATAAAACAAAGTAGGATTTAATTTCATGCTAACATATTGTTGAAGCAAAGACCTTGTTAAAAAGAGGAACACAGCTCATTTTGATGGGGGTAAAGCACAAGAAAACAGATGTCAGCAAGTTGATAAAGTTGAGTAACCCGAGTAATGATGCAGAGTGAAAAAGTGCCAATTACATCAGGGTGTTTTGACACATAGCGCTCTGTAAGTCTGAAGAGGAACTACAGTTCAACGGCGTTCGGGCCCTGTTTGTGCAGAGGGAAGCCACAACCAGGACGACTTTGCCACGTCATTTACACCCTTTTCCTCCCGTCTTCTGACACAAGCCAGTGAGAACTCAGAGTGAACTAAATAGATTCATGTCTGGATGAATTCTACGGTTCCCTGTGACCGGCTGTGACCTCTTTCTGTGGGCTCCAGAGCTCCAGTGCATGCATACGTGCACATGCAAGCAGCAGCTTGTGTAGGAACAGACTCAGGCTAAGAGTGGGTCACTGTGTGCACGTGTGTGAGCTGAGAACAAGCGTGGGTGAGCCGCTACTCACTCATGCACTGCAGGCCATGCTTTCTCTGCAGGCTCCTGCCACACAGGGAGCAGGTGGCACAGCTGGAGAAGGAGCCTGGCACCAGGGCGTGCCCACCACAGCCCGCTTTGTCTCGGGCCTCTCTGTCCCTCTCCTTAGCCCTCTCTCTCTGCTGCTCTTTGTCTCGGTTCTTACCCTGCAGAGGGACAAACAGATGCAAAATCAGGAGGCGTTTTCAGCTCTTGTTCTCTGTTTCAGAGCATCACATACAACAGAGGCTGGATACATAACAGGGTTTGTGTAAGAGGATTACGGTTTGTGTTTAATGGAGGCAAACCAGTAAAGTTTCTACACATTTGGTTGTTGTAATATAAGAAAATGATGGCAATGACAGCGAAATTCAAAGTGTTTCTGGAGCATTAGACTCCTCCAGGCTGCAGAGTTGCTTACCTTGTCTTTGTTAAAGGAGCCGGTCACCCTGTTCCTCAGGGAGCTGAGGGTCCTCTTCACCTTGGTACCCTTCTCCACCTTCTCTGCGCGGTCCTCCTCTTCATCATTTCTAATCCAGAAGAAGAGAGAAGGTCATTTTTGAGAACTTTTAAAAAATGTAATGCAAAATAGCTATTTTCTTTCCATTATTATTTTCAGAAAGTCTACTTATATTAACAAATTAGTTCAAAATGAGGCAAATATCAACTGCAAGGTGTTGTTTTGGTTCAATTTAACCTATTCTTTCTGCAAAAGACGGCATTAATACGATTTTTGTGATTCTCACTGCTCTTTTGACTTATTTTATAAAGTTTAGTTCAGACTGGAATGATCAGAATGTGGATCTTTATAACAATTATAACTGCTCGTATACAGTTCCTTCCTTCATTGCAAATGCTGCTGCTTAAATGAGCAATGATGCAATTTAATTGGTTCACATCCACCTTTAGCACAACTGCCTTCATTACTGCTAACAAATCCCATTGCTCCATCCCGCCATCACTCACAAACAAGACCCACTATGTTCTCCAAAAATGGTGTCACAGTTTCTGTCTCAGACAGTTCCGATCACTAAACTGGACCCAAAACAAGCATCTCTGACTCCACAGGTTTCTTACTGCTCTCATGAGCCTTGCAGGCTTCTATGTGAATGCTCTACTGCAGTCAGAGCCCCTCCTGCATCTCCCACATGAGGAGATTAGCCATTTTTCTCTCTGCCGTGTACTAAAGCAATCATCTACTTGTTTACTTTAAAGACAGAAAAACTCCTCTCTAGGTTAAAACCAAAGACTTCTGTTCCAACTTAATCATTCCAGGCATCTAAAAGATGCATGAACATAGGAAACATGTAGGAATACATTTGTTTTGGAGGTGGTGACTTACTTCTGAGGGTGAATACTGGGTTATGGGGAAGGTCTTGCAGCCACTGGGAGCTTTGACTGGCCTATCTCTACCCACACAAAGCAGGTCAAAAGATTTATCAGTCTCAAAGACTTTAACTTAACCCTCAACATTGCAGTTAGATGCCTGTACCCTGTTACATAACACAGAAGAACCCGATAGCTGAAAACATCTGCTCTGAGTTTTTCTGGCTGCTGATAGGCTTTTGAGAGCCCATGGTTTTGATGCTATTTGGGAAGTGAAACCATAATGAGTCATCATTAGAAACGAAAAGCAACCTTTGAGTTTGATGTCAATGGCTCACATTGTTGGATTCCCTCTCATTGGAATTGTTTGCTACTCACATTTGTTATAGGTTTTTACCAATAAAACCCCTCTAGAGAGACCATTGGTATTTATCTTCCATCAGACAAGTTGATTAATGAAAACATTTGTACACCTTAACTTGTAGGAGATGAAGGACTAGGGCGACACTCACTGATTGGAGAGGAACTCGTACCAGGTGACGCTTCCTGAGTCTCTGGGGTCTGGTCTGCTGTGTCTCTGCTTGGCTCTGAGAACAGTGACACAAGTTCAGGCAGAAGACGGGATCAGACACACACCTTAAAAGGTGACCATAGGTGAGCTCATCATAGACCAGGTTTCAAAAACAAACAGAGGCGGGGAGACTACCAGCTGGTCCAGCTGTGGTGACACTAAAAGAGGTTTCCAGATGTGCTGCAGCCTGTTGTGTTCAGACTAACACGTGCAAACGCGCATGCAAACATGCATCTACTCATATTCCAGCTGTGTACACACACACACACACACACACACACACACACACACTCGTGACAGAGGCGGCGTGGCTCTCCCGCTGCTCTGGGAGGAGGCAGCTAGCTGGAGCAGCTAGCTGGAGCAGCTAGCTGGAGCATGCAGACTTCCCCTCCTGTTTACTCACCCGTGGTACAGCTTTAGCTCCTGCAGAACCTTCTGTACCATCAGCCTAAGACAAACAGACACTGACACTGAGTGGTGGCCCTGAGAGCAGAGCAGAGCAGAGGACGGGCTGCTGGGAACTGGGTGTCACACGCTGATTTAGAGAAGTATCCTCCCCTGTCTGCTGCCTCCTCTCAATTGCCAGAGTACACATATATATTACAGACACACACGCATATAGACTGAGGGGCCATCTAAGGAGCTAAAGTGGAGACATGTGGGAGGGGGGGCTGCAGACGAATGACATGGAGCAGAAATGTGAAGAGAGAACGGGGAAAGCCCCTCTGTCATGAGGGAGTCCAGCAGATGTAACAGACTGTTTACACACGGCTGCTTTCTCTGTTGTATCTGTAAGTCTGACCGTGCCCGGTCAGACCCCCTCTGCCCGCCACACACACAGAAGGAGGGATGTATTCCACATGTGCTCCTACAGATGTGTCTCTGTGTTGAAGGAGTGGACCTACATGTGGGTCTGTCCTTCAGTGGAGTGCAGGTTTTCCTCTGGATCGAACTCTTCTGCCACTGGAAAGAGAGGCAAACGCATCACTGATGAAGAAAGTGCTCGAAAATGATAAAAATAAACTTTTCAGAGAGCCTTTTCTCAGCCCCCCCACCTCCGGCTGCCCTGGCGGCCTGTTTGGAGGTCTGCAGCACCCGGGAGATGTGCGCCGCTCTGGAGTAGTCGTCTGTGGCCAGGATCTGTGAGCGGGAGTACAGCTGCCGCCCAGGAACCCCGCCGGCCTGAGAGAGGGACACACACACGGGGGTCCTGTGTTCCTCTGGTCTGACTGTGTATGGTACACTCAGCTCACAGGCACGTTCAGGAAGAGCTGATGTACAGAACATTTAGTGTGTTTCTAGTTGTGTTCTCTGTAGCAGCTCACTGGACCAGAGTCTCCTCTGTGGTATCAGACTTACACGGTCCTTATCTGTTGTTTTCATTTGCTTAAAGAACCGGGGTTATGCTCACAGAGCAGGCTTTTTGATTTAAGTTAACAGAATAACCTCTGTGTTTGTGGCATAAACAGCTGATGAATTACAGACTCCAAATGAAGGATCTCAGTCATTCCAGGAGGGCTTTGGGTTCTGTAACTTTGTTGGACATATAAAAAAACCCCATCAGGGTCATAAATTTAACATTTTAAAATGCTGAGATTCTGAGCTCATTATCAGCCATTGAGTCTGGTTCAGGTTATGGCATTTGCAGGCTGGACTGAAGCCAGACAGGAGGACCCGCTCCATGTGACGAGTCTGTGTCATGTGATCTCATTTGATCTCAAGATTATCACATGATAAGTGATATCAAACTCAGAAAAAAAGGACAAAGGATACAAAACTAAAACAGCTTTAATTGTATTCTTTGAAGGAGGGAAAAAGAAACGTATTGCTCTTTTTATCAAAGCTGATCAAAATGGTATCACATTTTGTGGCGAGATAAGAAAGAATTGTTTAAATCTCAACTTTTATTCGTTCAACATCTATAAATGACTTTTGGAAGTAATTGAACTCCCATTTTTTGTTTCCTAATTTCACATTTTTTGACAAACACATACTGAAAGCGGGGTGCATCAAGCTGAACAGAAACCGACAAAAGGCCGGTTTAAAAGGGAGCTAAAACCTTTACCAACAGTGGACAGCTGGACACTGCTCACATCTGTATGCTAGTGGACAGTTTACCTTATCCGGCTCATCTCCGGGAGGAGGGCCGGCGCTCTCAGGCTGCTCCTGCGTGGACTGGAACAGACTCATCCCTGAGTCCTCATCGTGCTCCGTGTCCTCATCGCTGTCTATGGCGGCGGTGTCCAGACTCAGCCTGGCATCAGCCGGGCACACAGGAGGGACAGAGGAGGGACACAGGAGGGACAGAGGAGGGACAGGGTTCACCAGGAACACAAACTCAGCGCTGTAACAGGCCTTTGTTTCTGTCTCTCACTGAATGATGTTGTGGTAGTTTACATCCTCAAAATAGTTTCACTATCACTAAATAAAAACTTCTGAGAGACAACATATCTCAGAACACTCGCTCCAGTTTAAGGACAAAACAAAACAGAAAGCTGGGTGACACATGGGACTCACTGAGATAATGAACAAGTTTAACCATAGAATAGCGTGTATTCATTTGTCTCACCTCCTGCCGGAGTTCATGGGGGAGAGAGGGACCCCCCAGCTGTGCCGTCGGGAGGTTGACATGGATCTGACCAGAATGGGAAAGCTGTCCAGGTCCGGCTCTGCGTCTAACTCCATGCTGGGCTGGTCTTCTACCTCTTCAGCTGCTTCTGGCTTTGCTGTTTCCATTGCCTCCTGTAGTCCATTCAGGTGAGGAGCTGCCGGGGGGGGGGCCGCTGCTGTCTGTGGCACACGGTGCCGGCAGCTCTGGGCTGAACTGAGACACCCAGAAGGAGAGAGGAAGCCCCTGGGCAGGCGGCTCACAGGAAGGAAGCGGTGGTGTAATGACCGGCGGGGGGGGCGTCAGCAGACCGGCCCCCGCCGGCTGCTCACTGGCCGCACCGCCTGCATCTGGAGGGAGAGTTTGCGGGGTTTTGCCCGCTGTGGGGGCAGGGGGGGCCGGGGATGGGGGGGTCTGTGGGGGGGGGGCGCCCCCCCCCCGAGTCTTTGGAATACAGAGACTTGTAGGGAAGAGCTGAGGCCCTGCAGGTCCTCCAGGCTGCTGCTCACATCCACACAGGGCAGGTCGTAGTCGCTGACCTCTGAAGAGGCATCCTGAGATCAGAAAACACTCTTTACCCAACTGGAACGTCCAGTGTGTTCGTTTGTCCAGGTGGAAGAGGCTAAAGCTAGCTCATAATGAGGGTTTAGAGGGGAGGACAGCTCTACCTGGTCATCGTTGATGCCACCAAAAAAGACGTCCTCACTGATGGAGGCGGGGGGCAGAGAGCAGGAGGAGCCCTTCCCACTGGGGGCTGGAGGCTGGACACTGAGCTGGACACTGGGACTCTCACACGGCTTACACTCAGAGGCTGCACAGCAAAGGATTCAGTCAGGTCTCACAAACGGAAAAGCTTCCGACACACACATGCAGGAACAGATATGAGCAGCTGTGTGTGAACTGGACAGGGGGCTCTGATATGAGCAGCTGTGTGTGAACTGGACAGGGGGCTC